AACAAAACACTTGTTAGTAATAAATTTATTCGTGAAGAAACGAAAATGTAAACACAACAAAATACAAAATTATCACAATCGCCACTCTACCCGTGCCATTCACATCAGACTAATCATACCTTCAAACCCGGACTGTACGAACAAATCAGCTTCGAATGAATCATTCTAATATTTGCGTTTGGAAGTAATACAACAAAGTGCTATTAGAAAATTGTTGAATGAAACGCATACTGGTAAACTGCATCAAACTGCATGTTAATCAGTCGGATAACAGTTGACTTTCCAACTTCAACTTTGCTAACTTCAGCATGATTGCAGGTGGCGAATAACAGACGTATGCAATGTCACCGTATTTGTGTATTGCAGAAGCTTGAAGTAAATATAAGAGTTTGCTTTGATGTCTTCAACAAGACAACGCACCACAAAAGTGTAACTAGACGAAGAAACCAAACAACGATCGCTATGTACGGCTGCAAAAGTTGCTCTGAAAGCGTTGTTCATAAAACCTTATGACCAGTTGTGGACAACGTTCCTTGACTATACTGGCGGATACGACATCTGGTTCTTCACAGCCTTTCCATTTGATCAGCAAATCCATCGAACCATCCTTTGAATGAACCGCACCGAGGATTTCTTGAGGTTCTAGACCTGTATAACGAACGGATGAATATGCAATGGTACGAAGATTAACACTTATACAAATGCCATGTAGTTGAATAATTCAACGAAATATGATGCAATCAATCAGATCAGAGCAGTTGAAATGAACACGAGAAATCGACAACTTAGGCATATCACATACCGCGATCGAAACCATTGGATAGTTGGTTTTCATAACGTTTCCTTTTCAGATTCATCTTCTTTTCTCGCAATTCGTATGCCTAACAATGACTGTTCGTTAATAAATAAACTAAACCATCTGTCACATGTGTACTTCGTTCGCTACACAAATGCTTTTCAAATTCACAGTGTTTTATTGGACGTAGTCTCAATCTCGAACGATAACACTCCGACTGCAGTGGTTGAAGATGCACGACAACTGATAAAGTACATTTTACAAAGAGCATCAAACCTTTTGGTTATTAGAGAGCGAAAGAAGAACCTGGATCAATTCCGGGCAATCTAAATTGTTTTCTGGTTCCCACGTGTTCTCGGAGTCGGGGAATCCTTTCCACCTCAGGAAATATTCAACAACGCCGTTGCGAATGCGTTTGTTGATCACTTCTTCCACTATGTATTCGTCATTCTTCAAATGAGCAAGTAAATACGACCGATCAAGATCATCTTTGAAGAGGATATAAACTCATCTTCTTATTTCAACTTTGCTAATTTCATTTCAATCGCTCTGCTTCCTACTACTTTCTATGCCTAACTTTCGCGTCCACATACAACAAAACGCTCTCTGGGCGACAGCACCCTTTGTTATATATATA